ACGTTAGAAACAGATGCACAGCGGCCATGCGCGCCCCCAATACTGCTCGTTTATGGACTGGAATCGCCGGCGGGGCTCCTCTCCCTGCTCCACGCGTGAGACCGGAAATGGAAGGGAGATGGGCCGAGTCAGTGGGCGTGTCCCAGGGGGAATGGCTAAATTATAAACAAGAAAACAAACTGATAGATTAGCTCATCCACGTGCATAATAAAATGGCTGCTTGCCACGCTTTAGCTCTCCTTGCCAGACCCTCTCTTCCTACCTACTGGAACTTCCCCCTCTCTACCTGCACGGCATCCCTAGTCAACCTATCACCTACCTCCACTACTCTCAATCCCGCCCTCTTTAGCCAATATAAAAATCCCCACCAGCAACACGAGCTCAATAGTCTTACACGTGGCTGTTTGTGTTCCGGCTCATTCCATCTCACACAAACCAAACCTGAGCCCGGAATGTAAGGGAGGACAGTAACCGGGTAATGGGGATCCCACACTCACCGACCCAGGTCCCCTGACTGCGGAATGAGAAGAGCACTTTACTCCTTAAGGACGCACAACGCGTCATCAGAGGACCTAAGGATAGCCGCAGCCCCCCTCCCTTCCACCTTTAGTCGTCGGGAGTGCGGAGAAAAGACGAGTGCGGGCGGGAGAGAGGGAGCAGCGCACTCGGACCTTAATATGAGTCTGCAGGGCGTCTGGGGGTTGTGGGGTGGAACCAGCCGACAGGAGACAGAGTGGACACGCACCTGTCACTGGAGTAGAAGGAAACCCAGTGAGAACTCAAACTTCCGCCTGCGGTATTTGTGCTGGTTTGGTGCATCAGAGAAACCGTTCCGTGCGGAAACATAGTGGAATCTCGCTGATTATTCTCGTGGTGTTCAGTGGATTCTCTGGCATTTGGAATCTAGTCCATATTGTCCTTTTTCCCTCTACGGAGAAAAGCATAGGGTTTCTTCAAGGAGAATATGAAGAGAAATGAAGATTTCAGTCATCCAACATACGCTTGTGGGACAGAAAAGCTCCAAAGTTCAGATTTGATCCTTTGAAACAGTTTCACTGTTGTTGGCAGTCATAAGTTTCTTCGCTCTTAACAAACATTTCCTCATCTTGAATGTTTATGTCTCTCATTTGGCTTCTGTTTCAGGGATTGTCATCGCTTGCATATCACCTGTCTTTTTCCAATGGCTTGATTCACACTAATAGTGACAGCCAAGGGGCAGGGAGCTGAGCCTGAGACCATGATAGAAAATATACCATCAGGTGTGAGAACAACAAGGAACCCAAAACAACAGCGAGT